GATGGATATTAAAATGGGTATAAAATTAGAATTAATGAAGACTAAGTGACTGTTGCATTGATATATTCAATCCGAAGCAAGTTGCTGTACTTGCTGCATTTTTATGGCATGTAAGTTGCAAAGTGCCGTTTATAATTTATTATAAAGTGTATTTGATAGGGACAGACACACATCAACATAGACAAACTGAATAAAACAGCAGTCCCATGTTTGCATCATGGTGCAATAGCAACAGCTAATTCGCAGCACTTGTCCCTAGTTGGGCTCTTTAAAAAAATAACTCTAAAAATTGAAGTGATATTCATTTAAAATAGCACAACATAATGTATACAAACAGAAAAATGTAAAACATCAAAAATGGGTACAGTTCTGTTTTGGACATAACCAAAGTTTTGTTTGATTTTTGAACGTACTAAAACTGGTTACAGACTTTAAATGAACAGGAAGTGAGTTCCAAACTGCAGATCCTCTCACAGACAGAGCACCTTTTATCCAGTTTAAAACTGGTTTTAAAGTATCCCAAATGATGACCTGTTTACTGATGTAAAAACAGTTATGCTAACCTTTCGTTATATTAAAAAATGCTTAAAGTAATTTTTTCTGAACATCCAAAATGTGTGTGAAAGCTATTAGTAAGCTCCTACAAGTAGTATTTATAATATAAACACATTGTCTCCTTGAAAATGAATATTTTTAAGGAGAAATTTGCAATAAGATTCCAAATTTTATATAGCATATTAGAGAGAGAGACAGACAGACAGAGAGAGAGAGGGAGAAATAGAGAGAGAGAGAGAGAGAGAGAGAGAGAGAGAGAGAGAGCATTCCAAGAAAAAAGGAGTGTCAAGAGGTTGAGGGCCCATGTGGAGAGGGATGGGTTACATTTTGAGACACGCCTCTCCTTTCCCACACTATTTAACTACCACAGTCCTCCTCCCCTTCAGAATTCTTGCCTGTCTTTTCTCCACACTGTGTGTAATGGTAGAGAAGAGGATGAACTCCCTTGTAAAATGGGCGCTCATACTTTTTGGACTGTTCTCAGTTATTCTCAACATCGTCCTCATAGGCATCCACTCGGGTAGGAAGCCCAAATGTTCGGGCCAGCATGTCCACCAGCTGAAAGGTAAACACGACGACCGCAGCCTGGTGTTTGCTGATCTCACTCAAGAGGAGTACTTGCAAGTCCAGCAGTACATGCTTAAACAGGGGGAGCTGAATATCTCCACCAGACAGACCACCATGCCGTCGGAAAACTTTTTATTTCTAATTGATCTCTCACTACCAGAGAAATTGGAGGCTATGGCGTACTTAGACGGGAAAGGCAAAAAGCCAGTGAGAGAAGCAACAGTGGTGGTCTTTTACGGCATGAAGGGCCAAATCAAGGAGTATGTGGTGGGGCCTCTCCCCAATCCGGCATACCACAGAGATGTAACGCAGAAAAGATACAAGATGGAATTACCTATCACCAAGCGTCTGGTTACTATTGGGGAGTACGCTTTAATGTTTAAATTTTTTGACACCGAGGTCTTCCCTAAGTTAAAGAAACTCCTGAAAGAGAGTTTTGGTGTGGATGGGGAAAAACGCTTGAATGCCTTTGAACAAATGCCCCGTGGGGTTCAGTCAGGGGACAGAAAGACTTGGGTTTCCTTCTTCAGAGACATGAGCGGCATGTACATTCACCCGGTGGGCTTCGAGGTGCTGCTGAACCATGAGAGCACAAATGCATCTCAGTGGAAAGTGGAGAAGCTGCTTTACAACGGGGAATATTTTAACACGGTGGAAGAGCTTAAGATGAAATATGATAATGGGAAAGTGAACAAAACTGTGTACAAGGAATCTCCTGACTATGGTTCTCTAAAGCCTAGAAAAAAGCCGCTGCAGATACCACCCCAGCAGTTTTATGCAGAGGGAAAGCGCTACAGTATTCAGGACAACCACGTCTTGTACCTGGACTGGAGCTTCGCTTTTGGACTTAGTTCTCTCACAGGTATGAGAGTGTTTGATGTGAGGTTTAATGGTGAAAGAATCGCCTATGAAATAAGCGTGCAGGAGGCGATGTCGGTGTATGGTTCAGTGACACCAGGGATGATTCTTACAAAGTTTTTGGATTCAAGCATTGGGATTGGGCGCTTCGCACATGAACTAGTTCGTGGTGTCGATTGTCCTTATAACGCTGACTATGTCGACACATACCGGTACATCGATGTCCCAGTTCCAGTCAGGTTTAGGAATTCCATATGCATCTTTGAGCACAACATGGGTCAACCCCTGAGAAGACACTTCGCAGATTTTTTCCACAACAGTTATGGTGGGATGGTGAACAGCGCGTTAGTCTTCAGAACAATAACAGCTATAGGAAACTATGACTACATGTGGGATTTCATCTTTTATCAAAGTGGATCAGTAGAAGCCAAAGTGCACGCGACTGGCTACATCTCATCTTCCTACCTGGTCAACGGTAATCTGAAGTATGGACACCAAGTGGCAGAAAATGTCCTCGGGAACATCCACACACACTTCATCAACTTCAAGGTGGACCTAGATGTGGCAGGTAAGCATCATATTATTTAATGTCTTAGTGACCTTTGGAAAATAGTGCTCTGTTAGCTATTCTCTTTACATGTGCAACATATGGAAATATGAATAAACAGTTTTTCTTATTAGGTAGAAAAAAAATAATTCTCCATACAGTTTTGTTAAAATTCAAATTAATTCAGTTGAAAAAAATATTTACTTTTTGATTGATCCTAGAGGTAAATAAGTAAAACCATCCTAATTTAAAACAAACATTAATTGTTAGTAAAAAAAAGAAAAAAAAAAGTATGACCTAAAAGTTTTGTCAATGAAAAAGAGAGTTCCATTGATCAGTGAACTACAGGGTGATTAGGTTAATAGATTTGGTTAATAGATTTCCCCTCCTATATATAATACTCCTTTTATTTCACACAAATCATTGTGTTATGCCACTAAGCTGTCATGTGTCGCGATTAATGGGTAAAAATCATTACTGTCCTAAAACTGACATAAACTAAATCATGCTATATATCATTTTACTGTTTCCTCTAACTTTACATCTGTCAGATTCCATCTCTATAAATGTAATATCTCAAAATTATGCTTACCACTCAAACATTTTCCACTATGGCATGCCACAACTCCAAACCTAAATGTAAAGTCATATTCTGTAAAATAATTGGGTGAAACTGTGTGGTGAAGGGAGCCCTTGGAGTGGCAGCTCAGCTGGGGAAAGCAGCTTCAAAGTGGAGCTTTGGGTAAATGGACAGTGCGTATTATGAACAAGTGCTTAGGGATCCCCAGATGGTTGCCATGGGAGACTCAAGGGTTTCAAGCACAAAATAATTAAAGTAACTGCTACGCCTTAAAAGAAGGGAAATAGTAAGAGAAATGATCCTAGAAGACCAAATCTCGCTTGTATTGATTGCATTGTGTTTAGTGGAACTGTCTGACATATATTTAACCCCTCTTCCAAACAAAGACAATTTAATTACTTTGTCTTTTGCACAAGTTAAATCAAATTAAGTAAATATACAAATGCAGATAGTCAAAATAAATAAACCTAATATTAATAAAGTCAAATTGATCAGCATTACTCCCTCCAACATAACACAGCGGACGTTTTTGATGAGAAAATGGCATTATGACGTGATATAAAGCTCAAAAGAATTTTGCATAATACTGTCCCAGCCCTCCCTGCCATCCTCTCTTTCCCCCTCTTTCATGCTCTTCATTGCCAGTCATTTTAGGTTTGGAGTTTTGTCATACTCTTTCCATTTTTGGAGGCTGTGCTTCATGAGAAGTTCAAAGCTTCTGGTCTGTGCTGCACAATATCACAAATTCATTGTTACTATATCATTGTACACAACATCTATATGCAATGAACTTCTAGCCCTGCCATGGATATATTGGGCTTTGTTTAATAACGTAGCCCAGCTTTAAATTTAAGAGACAAAAAGTGTCAAAAGTGAGGGATCACTTTAAACTAAATAAAGAAGATAACAGCTCAGAGTGTGTTCTGTGAAGCTGAATTGATGTTCCACTACATCACATCCTCAATGCTGGAACATCTCAGCAGGAAACATTTGAGTTGAATGTGCAGCACTCAAATGTTATACAGTGACATAACCAAGTGGCGGGCATAGTGTACAGGAA